TAGGGGGCCCCATGAGATGCCCCTGGTACCTTTTACATAGGCTTTTTTGAGTTTGGGCAAGGACCCCATGATCCCCTATTGCCCAGTTGTCAGTCCACCCCTGCAGAGTACCCGGAGGAAACCCACGCAGCCACAGGGAGAACATGCAAACTCCAGGCAGGAGGTGCCGTGGCTGGAATTCAAACCAACAACCCTAGTACTGCTAGGCGGAAGTGCTAACCATTTAGCCACTGTGCTGCACATGCCCATGCTGCCATGCTTTATTCCTTTAAAGACCCTGCTAGTACAGAATACTACCCATTGATCTACAGAAAATGCACTCAGCTACCAAGCCCTGTTGTGGGCTAACAACACTCAACTCTTTTGTGGACTGAGTGGTGTCAGACTTACCTGGTGTCTTTTGCTAAACTACTCAATGGCTTCCACTCTCATATCTCTACATCATAAAAGCTAATTGTTGTATTGTCCAAGATAAGAACCAAGAAGTGTGCAGAGCAGGGAAAGATCTAGAGGGGGTGCTGGGGTACTCTGTACCCTCCCAGATTTTAGTTGTGTCCCCATGGGTATCTGAGAGTTCATGCACTGACCTATGAGCCAGTCTGTTGCAGACAGTTGGTGTAAAGAGGCACTCTGATGGGAAACACCTGATGTAAAGGGGCAATTTGAGTGGATAACTGATCATATACAGTATAAGGGGGCACTCTGATAGGGACAATTGATGTAAGGGGGGACACTATTAGGGACACTGATATAAGGGGATACTCTGATGGGGACACTGAAGATAAGGGGGCACACTGATCGAGACACCGGATGTAATGGGACACTCTGATGGGGCCAATTGATGTAAGGGTGACACTATTAAGGACGCTGATGTAAGGGGGCACAGTGATTGATGGGGACACCTGACTTAAGGGGGCACTTTGAGAGGGACCCTGATGTAAGATGGCACTATGATGTGGACCCTGATGTAAGGGGAGCTCTGATGGGGATATCTGATAAAAGGGTGCACTGATGTAAAGGGGGACTCTCATGAGTAGTCATGATGTAAAGATGGCAGCTTCCTCAGATGTGTAAAGCATTAGAGGGTTTAGTTCCACTTTAAAACTACCCCACTCTAACATATTTCCCCCTTACAGGCTTAACAGTAGACAGTGTGTTAGGCAAGCACCTGATACACCTGGGATGGAGCAGAAGTTATTAGCACTTAGAGCCAGGGGCGGACTGACAACTCATGGGGCCCCCGGGCAATAGGGGATCATGGGGCCCCTGTGTCCTTGCCCAAACTCAAAAAAGCCTATGAAAAAGGTACCAGGGGCATCCATGGGACCACCTACTGACCCCGGGCCCTCGGGCAGTGCCCGAGTTTCCAAATGGTCAGTCCGCCCCTGCTTAGAGCAGTGTTACTCATAATGCTTTCCACTAAATACAGTATAACAAAATACTTTAAAACAATATTTTTACCAAACCAACAATGAACAAATAAGAGCAGTTCATTAGGGATTACATACTGTATACTTTAGCCTATTATGAACCTTAGTAGGACCTAATTAACTCCTTCCACCCTTTTTCCCCATAGCTAATATTTTGTTGCTTATTTTGTTTTATTTATATTTTTTACCATTAATATTTAAACTTTTTTTTATTTTTTATTCCTTTTGTTTCTTTTTTGTGGATTTAAAAAAGCACAAAATGCCTTTGCTTTGCAGATAAAAATCATTTTAGTGTCATTATAAAGAGGAGAATAAAGCTAGAGAATAAAATGTCAACATCTACAGGAACACTTGTAAGACTAATACCTGTCAAACCAGACACAAAGACCAATTTATTTTGTTTTGTTTTATGTTCTATGAAAAATAAAATTATTTTTGCAAGACAATCTTACCTAGAAAATAAGTCTTGTTTGTATCAAGAAAGAAACTACAGTCGACCCCCACGAAATCGCGATTCAGAGTTCGCGGTCTCAGTCGTTCGCGGATTTTTCCTCTCTGGCAGATCAGCCCAGCATTCCCACAGCATAACAGTTTACCGAGTGTAGCTATCTCAAGTGTTTTGCTGATTTGTTTTGTTCTTCTTAAAGCCCTAGAATGCTGCCCAAGTGCGATGCACTTTCTAAGGCTTTCTGGCAATGAACCTAAGTGCCAGAAGTTTAAGATGCTCCAGGAGACAACCTTCTTAAACTACTGGATTTGCTCTGGGAACTAAAAAGTTATCCTGCAGTAGCGTGCCATTATTGCATCAATGAAAGTACCGTACGCTACATAAAGAAGAACGAGGCAGTGATCAGGAGTACCATATAAGAAAGTCTCTGTGATAGTGCCAAAAAGGTAACGACTGAAGAAATATAAATATCGTCAGGATGGAATCTGCCATGGCATTGTCGATCTCTGACTGCAGGAAGAAGAACTTCCCCTTGGATGGTAACATCATCCGTGAGAAAGCACGGAAATTGTACCAGCAGTTCGCTACAGGAGACAATGCAGAAGGGTACCGAAGAACCTCAACCAGCACCATCAACAGCACCAGAGCCTGAAGATTTTTAAGCCAGTAAGGGATGGTTTGACTTTCAGATCATGGAGAGGCAGCATCTGCCGATAAAGAAGCCACGGAGAAGTACCCCGAGACTTTCAGGCACATCATAGAGGAGAAGGGACACAAGCCCAATCAAGTTTTCAACATGGGTGAGACTGGGTTATTCTGGAAGAAGATGCCATGCAGAACTTACATCACGAAGGACAAAGCCAAAGCCCAGGGATTAAGGCTCAGAAGGACAGAGTGACACTCATTATGTGCTGCTGGTTACATGATCAAACCAGGCCTCATCTAAAATGCTAAAATGCAGCAAACACTAGGGCCCTCAAAAACAAAAATAAAAACCTGCTGCCTCTCTACTGGATGCACAACCCTAAGGCCTGGATGACCAAAGTCCTAGCTTCAAACTGGTTTCACCAGTGCTTTATCCCTGAAGCCAAGGAATACCTCCACGACTTAGGTATGAACTTCAAGCTGTTGCTCATTATGGATAATGCTTGCAGCCACCCTTTGTATTTGTATCACAAGGGAGTCCAGATTGTATTCCTCCGTGCCAACACCACTTCCCTCATCCAACCTGTGGACCAAGGTGTGATCCATGCCTTCATGGCTCTTTATACCCGGAATTCTTTCCAACATCTTGTGGATGCAATGGACATGGATGAGAATTTTACATTACATGGTTACTGGCATAACTTTAATATCGCAACGTGCCTGTCAGTCATCCAAGCTGCTCTTAAGGAGATGAAAAAGGAAACCCTAAAAGCATGCTGGAAGAAGCTGTGGCCAGAGTGTGTCCATGACTACAATGGCTTCTCACCTGAAGAAATTCAACATGAGGCTGTAGACAAGGTTGAGAGACTGGCAAAGATACTTAGTGATGAAGGTTTTGACGATATCACTCAAGATGAGGTCAACAACCTCATCAATGCCCACTCTGAACCCCTGACGGATGAGGATTTGTTGGAGTTGACAAAGTCTGCCAGCGAAGAGGAGGAGGAAGCGACAGATCAAGAGGTGGACCACATCCAAAATTTGTGATTTTTCACAATTCATGGGTGCTCTACAAACATAACCCCGTGAATTTTGGGATTCGACTGTATATATGTATTCATTTGTTATTTTAAGTAATTACAAAGGTATTGCTGAATCATTAAAGTATTACTAAAGCCAGGACCCTGCAATCACTATATCTGGTTTCCCACAGTACACACAACATGTAAATGCAATTTTTTAGTAACGATAAACTGCTAAATATCTTTTCTCATCAGCAGTATATAGCAGTCTTGTGACTTCTATCAGTGTCCAGCTGAGCACTGGTTAAAGCTTGTAGGAGTTTCCATTCTCCTCTGACTGTCCTATGAGGCTGCATAACCCCTGACCCTCTGTCTTGTCAGTGCGATTGGCCCTGTGCTGATCACATGCACCCTCCCAAAGAAAAAAAAAAAAAACTCTCTAGCCATACACACTAAACTGAGCATGGACAGAATGTCTTCTAGAGCTCTGTTTCTATCAGCAGATGGATTGGGGACAGTAGAAGAAATGGAGAATCAGAAAAGACAGGATAAAACAGCCTTTTTACACAATGTGGAGGATTAACCCCCTAGGTTACACAGTGAGTATACCAATCATACTTTACCGCATAGGAAAATAATAGTACAAATAAATAAAAAATAGGTGCAAACAATGGTATGTTACCACATATGAGTGGTTAAAGTCAATAAATACAGATTGTAGACTCTTAAGTCCTATCAGGTCTAAATTCGAGGACTGCAGTTCCTTCTAATCGATGGTATGATAAAATCATCAGAGATAAATGAATTGCGCACTCACTAGAAGTGCGCTATCAAAAGGTATTTGAAATCATAATCGTCTCATCGGGTCAGCCAGGACAATCACTTCCAGGTATGGTCAGGTTCCTGCACCTTTGTCTTTGAGGACCCCTCCAATGGTATCATGATCTCAGGACACCTCTAAACTGGCCTCAGCGAGTGGTGAGACTCGCAGACAACCAAAGAATAATGCCACATAGCGTGATACTGCATTCAGTGGGGTAATTTTATTCCGACAAAGATCTTAGAGTAAGGGGTTACAGCATCCTGACGTCCCTGCTGCTGTTGGCAGCCATCTTTACACACATGGTCCGTTCTTTTATTTATTCTTTCCTTGTATGATTTGTACCTTTGTCGGAATAAAATTACCACATTTATGTGTTCTGACTCATCCTTTTACATTCTTTACAATATAAAATTAATAAATATCATTGCAAATGGGAGGCCTTTATAATGCCCACAGCAAGACAAAAGACAAAGGAGCCCCCAAGAGATAGAAGGGACTGCCGGGTGGTTTACCTCTCCAGACCTACCAACAAGAAAAAATATCAAATCATTCACTATGTAGTTCACATATTCTTCTAGGAACCTTCTAAATAAGAGTTAATCTGGATTTCTTTTTGGTAACTGTTTTTTTTTTCCTTACAGATAAAAAAGAAACAGCAAGATGTGGTCGGTTTTTTGGAGGCAAACAGGATTGCCTTTGAAGCCAAAGATATCGCATGTAATGATGACAACAGGAAGTGGATGAGAGAAAATGTGCCCGGTGAGAAAAAGCCAGAAAACGGAATCCCTCTCCCTCCCCAGATCTTCAACGAGGAACAGTACTGTGGAGTAAGTCTGCAACTTATGTATAAAGTAGCCTTTTCACCTCCTGTCAGATTGATGGTTTGCACATTTTCACCTGGTAGATATCATGTTGAGGCACCTTTTTTTTTTAACAGCCATAGTGACACTTCAGCGGAAAAGTGAGTTCTGTGGTAGGTCAGGTAACTGTGGGAAAGACAGGGGGTTAGGGGACATAAGAATACCTCATGGGCCGGGTGCTAGTGTAAGAGAAACTGAATTCCTAGCACCAGAGAACCAGTAAAAGACTTTTGCTCCTATTTGTATGCATTGCTCACGTGGTCATATTTATGAGCGAAGAAGCAAAAGAGGTGCTGTTCCAGTTCATCGTGCGCACATTTGTGCATGCATGCACACATGCAAACGGACTCACGCGCATTCCAGTTAGCATGTCCCTGGGGTATTGCAGAGTGCCCATCGGGTAATAATCCTCAAGTCCCTGGGGTATTGCAGAGCGCCCAGCGGGTAATAATCCCCAATTCCCTGGTGGATTGCAGAGTGCTTAGCGGGTAATAAGTCTCTATTCCCGTGAGTATTGCAGAGTGGCTGCGGGGCTCTCCCTCAACGTAGACCTCCCAGCAGCGGACAGCGGGGGGGCCACGTGGCGTCAAGCCGGCGACCCTGTCCTGGAACCTCCCTGCGGGAGGTCACCCCTCTCCAGGCCGTATGGTTTTCAGGAGAGGCGTGAATCTCGCCGCAGGGGGGTCATCTTCCTCCCATAGGCTCCACTGGGTGGGAGGAAGATGACCTAGGCAGGGTGAGGAAAGTAACACTTCTCATTCTGTGCGGCCTGGCTTCAAAGGGCCGTGACAGGATGAGAAGGGGGGAAGGAAGGTGCCACACAGGACACAGGCACTAGGAGGGGTGGGGGCAGCTCTGCAGGTACACTGTGACAATACGATAATGCTTGACCAGCAATGAAACCAGCCCTTTCAAGACTTGAAAGTTTGTATCAGTACCTGCACCTGAACCTGCAACCTATGCTGCGTCTGGCAGTATCACTTCTTGCTCAACCACCTGAGATGCTGGAGAGCTCCCTGGACAACTCCTTGTACAATCTTTCCTAGTACCTTGTTTCTGGTGAACCTTGAAATCTTTGCTAATCCCATGAACTTCCTATTATTGTGCTCTCTTCAGCAAATATCTGAGTCTTGTCACTCCTGCTACCATCTGTATCTTCACTACCACTCGTTACCAATCTTTGACTTGTTCCTCAGCTATACTTCCGCTTGATACAAACCTGCAACCGCTTGTTACTCGCCTTTGGATTGTACTTCGAGTGCGCTTTAGCTTGATCCCAACCTACAACCACTTGTTACCGATCTTTGCCTTGTTTACTGACTACACTTCTGTTTGGTCCCTACCTGATATATCTGCCCCTGGATCCCAGTTTGTCACCACCTGGTGTGGCAATCCTGAGGGCTGCGACCTGATACTAACATGCAGCTCAACCCATCCCCACCATCAGGAGCTCTGGTGAATATTGGTTAGTGCTTAGACCCTGCACCTCGGTGTGTACCTCCACATTCAGTGCCCAGACTATGGACATTAAAGTATTTATATATTCTTGAAGTGGAAATAAACCCACTGACTTCATGGTTTCCCCAAACAGTTACTTTCCATAATTTTCCTCCTCCTGTTGAAGAACTGGACATATTTTTATTCATATGAAAAAAAAACCTAGGTAAAATGACAATCACAGATGCCCACAGCCTCCTGGGATACCATGTTATGCATCCCAGGAGGCTATAGGGCAATCTACAGCATAGGCACTGCAGTACCTTCTCACATGCATGTTATCAGAAGGTCAGCTGCAAGAACCAAGTAGAGACAGCCAGTCCCCTGGTGACAAAAGAAAGGAAGATTGCTTTGTGGAATTGGGTGAGCAGCAGTGAAACAAGGGATACTACAGAGCAAAACTTTGTTTTTACAAATAAATATTTAATACATGACTGAAGGTTCCCCAAAACACCACGGGTTAGCTAAAGAGACAAAACACAGAGATGCAGCCTACAAACACAGTAGTACAACACAGATATGCTATCTATGTGGAGGTTCCATTCAACTGAAAAACATTGGACTGAGCCTGAACCAACCAGTAAGAGATGAGCCACTGGGATGAGTCATTCACTTATGTGTATACATTTCTGTTGTAGCTGCTGAGGTCTGTAAACAGCAGGCTGTAAAGAAAGAAACAAAAAATTTACAAAAGGAGCTGAAGAGTAAATGTTTTTAAATATTTTTCTTTAATACTGATTTAAGTAAGTGAAGTGGGAATATTTGTACAAAACCATTATACAATCTCTTTAACATCAACATGACAGCAGCTTTTAACTCTGTTGTATGATACCCTGTTTCCCCGAAAATAAGACAGTGTCTTATATTAATTTTTGCTCCCAAAGATGCGCTAGGTCTTATTTTCAGGGATGTCTTATTTTTCCATGAAGAATACGGTACACATTTATTGTTAAATGAAAATAAAGGAAATTACCATTTTAGTAACCCCTTTTGATCCTCCTGTGTCATTTTGATCGCCCCCTCTGATCCTCCTGTGTCATTTTGATTGCCCCCTCTGATCCTCCTGTGTCATTTTGATTGCCCCCCTGATCCTCCTGTGTCATTTTGATCGCCCTCCTGATCCTCCTGTGTCATTTTAGGTGATGATCCCCCCCCCCCCACCCCTGTGCCGCTGGACACCTTCACCAGACATCCCCCCCACCCCTTTATCAGACATTTCCCCCCTGGGGCCTGCTTGGGGACTGTCACTGGGCTGGCTGGGGCCTGGACCTGGGCTGGAGCAGGGTCTGCCACTGACTGAGAACCTTCAGTCATCATGAGGGTGGCCGCGAGCATCAGGCAGTGTCACCAGAGACAGACCAGCACTCACCACCTTCGCCGCATCCCGTCCGCTCTGATCCTCCTGTTCTTCTACACGCATCTGCGAAAGTCTCCTCCTCTCTCTCCCGCCCCCGCTCACCGCTCACTCCGACCTCCACTCCGCCTCCACACAGCAGTGACGTCAGGACTCCGCGTAACGTCACTGGTTGCTAGACCCCAGTCGGGGCAGCCCTAGCAACCAGTTTACGGTAAATTAATTTTCATTCCGAGACAGAGCCTAGTGGGGCCTTATTTTCAGGGAAATGTCTTATATTTCACCCAGAAGGAAACCTGTAAGTAGGTCTTATTTTCGGAGGATGTTTTATTTTCGGGAAACACGGTAGCAGTATTTTCTAGTAGTGTCCTGTAACTTGATGGGCATCTTTAACTTTGTCTTTTGTAACACAGCAGCATTTTCTGACACATAATAGCTATCATGTACCTGATGGAGACCAAGATGGCTTGGGCAGATTCTCTTGCACCTCTATTCCAAGTGTCCCAGGTAGTGGTGACTTGAGACAAAAGGGCAGCGGAGTGTCATGACTGCAAATTAGTTGGTAGTAGCAGCATAGTCATAGACAGGCCAGGGACATCAATGGGCAGGAAGCAGCAGTGCCAGGCAGGAGACAGGTGCAGGAACAAACCAACATCATCAGCAAATTGCAGTAGCAATACTAAGTAGGAGACAGGTGCAGGAACAAACCAACATTATCAGCAAATTGCAGTAGCAATACTAAGCAGGAGACAGGTGCAGGAACAAACCAACATTATCAGCAAATGGCAGTAGCAATACTAAGCAGGAGACAGGTGCAGGAACAAACCAACATTATCAGCAAATTGCAGTAGCAATACTAAGCAGGAACAGGTGCAGGAACAAACCAACATTATCAGCAAATGGCAGTAGCAATACTAGGCAGGAGACAGGTGCAGGAACAAACCAACATTATCAGCAAATGGCAGTAGCAATACTAGGCAGGAGACAGGTGCAGGGTCAAGAACATTCCAAGGTTGTCAACTATTAATAGGTATCAAGGTACAGAGTCGGCAGGCAGACACAGTTGAGAATGTGCCAGAGCCAATAACCAAAGGACACAAGGCCAAGCAGAGTAGCAGAAGGGTAAAAGTTGAACTCCATTCACCAATTAAAAAATGATATAGTTACCCTGAACTGCACAACGAGTGCCATTTACTAAAACTGATGCACTCAGAATGGTGTAGCTGTGCATGGTAGCTAATCAGCTTCTAACTTCAGATTGTTCAATTAAGCTTCGGCAATAAAACCTGGAAGCTGATTTCTGTGCAGAGCTGCACGAGATTTTGCACTCTCCAGTCCCACAAAGCCACTCCTCTTCAAGATCATCTAGTGGTGAAAGGAGCACTTTCCATGTCTCTATTCCATAAAAATCCTGTTTGCAGTTTTTCAAAGTGGGACTTAAAATGGGGCTTAAATTGTACCTTCCTTCACCCTCTTCAGTCACTTTCCATAATCTTTCTCCTCCACCCCTCCTGTTACACAATTGGACATGTATTTATTTATCTATAATTTTTTTTTAAATAGCTAGGTGAAATGACAAGTAAAACAGAGTGCAGCGCTAAAAAAATATATAAAGTGCAAAAGAAGATAGTCCGTGGTTAATAAATTGATTCATATGAGTAAGTCACAAAAAGATAGCTGATGAAACCAGGAAACAATGGAAAGAATGCACACTCACCGGACGCGCATGGAAAATGCGCATATAATGAATATCCACTGGAATCTTTATAGTAGATGAAGAGGGTAAACTTCAATCTGTAGGTCAAACAGCCTGGGAAAATATATGGGAAGTCCGGTGGTCCCCTTAAGGATGGTATGGTGCTCAGCCAGAATCCAAAGCTCCGTCCCTCTGGTGGTAGTAGGTTAAAACTACAGGGATCCTGCAAGTTGATTTAGCTCCCAATAGGAGCCAAAAAGACAGGTGTCCATAGTGTAGTATTTTAAACAAGTTTATTAGACCACATATAGTGGTGAATACAGGGTAGTAATGGCTGTGTGAAGTATATGATATACAGCAGAGTATGCAGCGATGATACTGACCCTAAGTTAAAATGGCCGCCGGGCTATCTCGTTGCTCCGGGTGGGAAATGACGTCATGCTCTGTCGGTTCCTCCTAAGGCCTTTCGTGCCAAAGCACATCATCAGAGGGGATACCAACCCCTCTGGAGCACTTTCCATGTCTCTATTCCATAAAAATCTTGTTTGCAGTTTTTCA